CTTTCGCGACCGCGAGAAATTTGGCCGTTCTTGGGTAGTCCAGAAAACGTTAATAATTTAGGGCACCCAATGTTACTTTTGGTAATATTTATGGTGTCAAATTGTACAGCTAAATGTTATCTTTCAAACACGGTCAGTTTGAAACTACAATAATTTAACAACAGTATGTAAAAAATCGTCAAATGAAAAACGTAAACATGAACAAAGAAATTTAATAGAACAATCAACACTGCTCTGAGCAGGCTAAGCATATAAAAAAACGTAATATACATTTAAGCCCTAAGAGCACACACAATTATCCTGTAAATATAAGCGCTGTGAATACAGAGGTTGTTGTGCACATAAAATAACATTACACGGAGTGTCTTTCATGCCACCGTGCGGAGCAGTTCTGCGATGCGGTAAGACACAGGTTTGCTACGCATGTTTCACGGAAAACACTTGCTTTCTGTTTAACTTTTCTTTGGTCATAGCATAATTTGCAGTTCCTGATATATATATATCTGAGGAGCACTTCGTGTAGGAGCATCAAAATGGACTGTGGAACCTCCAAGAACCGTCTCTCTCGCTGTATGTTGGCTTCTGAAAAAAATGCGTCCAAGCATATTTATTTGTGCTTTTGCATAGCTCTCCAATAACTTGAACAGTAAAAAAACAAAAAGTCGACAGCGCTCACGAAGCGCCGCGCGACACTACGCAACGCAGTTCCAAGGTTTACTCCCGGCTATCTCCGCGCACAAAACTGCAGTCTCTGCGGTGTCGCCGGCAATTCCCGCCCGAAGGAAGTGGGCGCTCTGCAGATAAGAGCCCTAACCATCGGAACATGCTGGGTGCCAAGTCATGTTGGGATACCCGGAAACGAAAAAGCAGATAAGTATGCCTCCCAGGCAGCCCATAAAACAGTGACAAAAGTGAAAATTCCCCTTAAAGATATCCAGAGAACAATTCGCCTGGCTCTACTAGCAAAATGGCAAAAGCAATGGGACACCTGCACGAACAATAAGCTCCACCTAGTGAAACCCACACTCGGGGAATGGAAGACCTGCCGTCACCAGCAACGGTTTATTGAAGTTGTATTATGCCGACTTCGCATTGGACACACACGCTTGACACACAACTTCTTACTCGTAAAGGAAGAACAACCAACGTGTGAAAAATGTCAAGAAGCGTTAACACTTATGCACATCCTAATCACATGTCCTAGCATTGAAACACAGAGACAAAAACATTTCAGCAAGCTATACAAACAACACGTACCTTTACACCCTCCTTTGTTCCTAGGAGATGACCCTCTAGTACCTCTGCCTGACTTGCTAAACTTTCTGAAAGAATCTAATCTGTTAAATAAGCTTTAAAATCTCATCTTTTCATTGTCCATTCCTTAAAGTCTTGTGTCTGGCGCAGCATAGCCTTAGCTGCTTTTGCGCCATAAAAACCAAATTAACTTAACCTAACCATCAGAACACTTCAGATCAACTTAACCGGCGCATGCTGGCAATAACGCGGCCCGAGAACAAAGCTAAGCTTACCAATAGACGGCCACTGATGTTCCGGGGCGGTTGGCGAACTCTCGTCGTCCGAAATTCGCTGTTTTCATCAAGCGGTCACACGCGGTGTCAATGCCATGATTGAAACTATGCACGCTCACTCGCGCCCATGGAAAGGTGCTTTAAAATCACCTTACGGTTAAAAAAAGGGAAACGAAAGCAAAACTGATATAATACTTTTTCTTTTACACGTTAGATAGTGCAAGGGGTCTAAAACTGTTTAAAACAGGGCAAATATTGAAGTTGTAAACATCGAAAACATAATATAGACGGGGATAGGTGCGAAATTGTCAAGTACAGTGTAAGTACGAAAGTCTCACAGTTTATGTGATAGTAATATTTTTATGTGGTGGTACCACGGCCACATAAACACAACTAAGGCTCCACGCATGATCGATAAACTACTGTGCTGTAGCTGTATACCTATCAACTGCGCGCAAGAGCAGTACCTAGAGCCAGTTTTTTTTAACAGCCGAGTCGCTACAAAACACTGCATTCACACAGCATTTAATAGTTCTCATGTTTGGGAGGATGCCAGAAGCATTTTGCAAAGTGCTTGAAACAGAAAGTGCCACCCACTGGGAAATCATTCTGGTGAATGGAGGGTAAAATCACAATAAACAGCATTCTGGAAAGTTTCACTTGCCGATCTTATTACGTGCATTAGGAGCCAAGCAAGACGAAATGCTTTCGTACGTTTTTTCAGGCATACGTGAAAACAGTTACACTCGCATTGACATGGCCGGACAAACCACATTTCCAGAACATGCATGACATTGGCACACATAGAAACACAACTTGTCTAGCAGACGATGCAAGGAGGAATCCACACTTCACCGTTTCGGCCAGTTTTCGTCAGGTGGTGACTCTGCTCGATCTCGCGACCAATACCTGCTATGTATTTTAGGCAAAGTTTATGTACCTTTGTCTCCATAACCATAAAAGCTATAGTAATTATTTTACTATCATTGTGATCATGAGCCATTCCTATTTTTACTAAAGCAGATTTAGCACTGAAAATTGTAATGCTCATTTTTTGCGAATTTTTTACTTTAAGTACCTAATTATACTCAATAATAGCTATTAGATGTTGTGTTGCACAAGAGCACTTCACACAACAATAATTCTGCTTCAGCATATTCCCTGTTACGTTATCTAAATACTGGCTGGAATCTATGATTCTAGATACTGTAGTTGCTGAGAAAAATGAACATGTACAAAAAAAGCTTGTTTTGAGGTGATTGCATTTTGAAGTTGAAAATTGCATTATTTCGAGAGTTCAATGAGATAGCAGCAAATTGAAGAACTTGTTCAATATGCACTAGCCAGAAACCCATCACCTATATCATTTTTTCTTTTTGTGTTAAAACGTCTTGCCTGGCGAGCCTCATTAGTCGCCTGCTATACAGCTGTGCCAACACAGTACTGTCAACGCAGGTCAAGAGTACGCAGGCCGTGCACTGTGTAGTGCCCTGGCAAAATTACAAAACAATGCAGCACATTCACATGGGCTATATTACCATCATTTAAAGTGAACACAGCATCAAGAGTGCATATTTTCAATGTTTGGTGCCAAGGGCAAACATTCTTTTTTTTTTTTAGCGTGCTACCACGCGTCAATCCGACGACTCGTTATGGTTTTGCCTTTTCCCATGGAGCTATTTAGCAAGTAATTTTGGATGAGCTAATTTTACATAATTTGGCTTAACAGCCTCAATAACAGATGCTGGAAAGTGTTCTTTATGAACAAATGGTTCACCATTCAACTGGGCTTTGTTGAACTTGCACCAAGTTTCGGCATACTTGGAGCAAAGGCCATAGGCCTTGGGATTGATTTGTATCCTTTGATGCCATGGGAAAATATCTGGACCGGACAGCTTTTCGCGTGTCCTCCAGGCTGGCTCTATTTCATTTAACGGCCCAGTGATAATAGTCTTGGTGCTTGCTAATGATGACACCACTAAGACGTCCCCAACCAGCTTCTCAACAGAAAGCTTGGTGCCACTGCTTTGTTTTGTTTTCGCAGTTCTGGGCCCGTTATTTTCTGAATGTCCCAAATGTACTCCAGTTAGGAAACTGTAACTCCTCCCTATGGCTATGACGCTTTAACCGCAAGGAATCCATAGCTACGGAAGGCCACCGCACAAGTTTTGAAATATGCCGTTTTTAGAGAATAGAGATCGTACTAAGACAAACAAATGACTGATGCTGGTTCAGAAAAGGTTGCAGATTTCAAATAATGTAAAAAAAGAAAGATTTAAAAAAATATTTTTGTCTCCTGTCTGCTTAAAGTGACTGATCTTTATTTGCACACTATTTGTACTGAGCCAAAAACAGCGCGTACTGACGTGTATGTCCACTGTCGTCTCTACGTGATCAACTCTGAAAAGAGTTAAAAATTCTGTCCTTATCTCACTTTACTCTCTTGTGTTGTGTAGACCAACTAAAACGACATTTCGTAGTGTGCTGGGTGCGAGGGCACCGTGCGATCCAAGGATATGTACTGGCTGACCAGCTTCATTGTTCACATTTTAAATCAATCATTGCTCAATTTAAAGCAATCATTGTTCACATTTTTAAAGAATGTAAACAGTTTTCACGTAATATTTTCAGGCATCTCCGTAGTAAGACCTCTCTGAGGAGAGGTTGCTATTGTGTTGATACATTAAAATGGCACCTGCCTCGCGACCCTTGGAAACAAGGGCTATTTACGAGGCATTCGGGCTCATGCCATATACCTCATTACAGTATTAATTCAATTGAATTCTTCGTTTGCAGGCGTAAAATGCAGAAATACCAAAACTGGTTGGACACCTCACCACAGGCTAGTTGTGGGTCCAATGAAAAAAAAAAAAAAAAAAAAAAAGACTTCTATGCACAAGAGGAAGGTACAGAAATATGTACTGTGAAATGTGTAAATAGAATACAGCAATCTCTTCCATTCATTCGTGTTACACGCATTTCATGTCACCCTCATGATTTTAAATACTTATCTATGTTTCATCTGCCTAAGAGCGTGGAGTTTTAGGCCTGTATACAGCCACGTAACAGCTCCATAGTATGCATCTTCAACATATCACCGCAAACCACGCATCTAGCCATTTTAATGTAATTTCTCGTGGGGCTCTTTGGCCAGGTATGGCCCTTGCGCCAATAAAGATCATATATCATCATAAAAAAAGCCCGAGTTGATTCGAATTTGACTTGCTCGCAATTCAAAGGCAAATGAGCACCAGAGAAATTTTTTCCTGTAAAATTACGACAAATTTCAGCAGGACACAACTTATATATGTGTGTGTACATTTTTTGTTGTTGTTGTTTTGTATTGGGACTCCAATCATCTAAGGTTTTCCTAGCGACTCTGAAATGATAGTGCTTTGTAAGGAGCCATAGAATTGGGGGCCAAACACAGAGCACTGTGGACATGTTTAATATAACATTACTTTTACGCAGGTACGGGGAGTTGGAGCAGGCGGGATTGTGTCCACCGCATTCTGCATCCTCTACAAGCTGTTCACCCTTAAGTTAACTCGCAAGCAATTGGTTGGCCTATTGAACCATTGTGATTCCCCTTACATCCGTGCACTCGGATTCATGTACATCAGGTATGCTATTTATTAGTTTGAGGAGTGAGAGCTCTAGACATCAAGGAGCTTTGCTGTTTCTGTTTTTGCCATAACTCTCGGTAAAGCATTTATTGTCTGCTGTATGGAAGGTTTTTCTCACTGTAAACAGCAGTTTCGAACATCAATTGTTACTGATACATGCAAGATTTCATCATAGGTCACCATAAAGTCTAGGCTGGCTTTCAAGAGTCGAATTTTCTAATGGAACCGCACGTCTTTTGTATTAGAGGTATTCAATGCTTATACAAAAAGGGATTCGGCTATCACTGTGAAGTAAAGCCTCATAAAGAACTAATAGTTGATATGTTTTCAATGGACATTGTAGGGATTAGTATAGCTGTTTTCTTCAGCACCTCATTTAAACGTTTGCTGTCTAGTACTTGCTCTGTGTATATACAAGAAGGCAAAAGTGCTACTAGTTTATTTTTATTTGGATACATGAGTGTGTAGCTGTAAAAGAAGTCTAGGGAAGCATGGTGTACATGGATATTTGCATATTTTTTGGTTTTTGTTTTATTCTTGTTGAACCTGTAGGATGCCATGAGGTTCGCTGTTCTTATTAGCAGGGGTGAGACAGCTGTGCATATTGTACATTTTTTATACATTTTCGCTTTCTTGCGCCAAGCTGCTCTAAAAGCATAAAACTTGCGAAAAATTACACCGAACTGCTTCAAAACAGCCTCGAAAGCTTGCGCTTTGATGCCAACCTCAGCTTCAGTGGAGAAAAAAACGCCGAGTTTAACTAATAAGATGCACCCAATTTTTTTATTTTTTTTTCCAATTTGCACCTTTCTGGTGATGAAGGCTCCTATGATGCCGCCATAATCTCCTTTAAACTATTGCAAATATGCGTGACCCCGCAAACATGTGCTGCCGTGCATCGAGCGTGCTGCTTCTACTAGCTAGGCTGCGTGTTCTGGTGCCACTATTGGCTAGTGAAAACCACCGAGCTGAGTGGCAAGCTTAGCGGAGTTGACTCTCAGGTTTTTTGTTATGCGTAGCGCGTTCCTCTGGTCACTGCGGTTTTCATGTCGACGCTTCTCTGTGCGGTCACCTACGAGTGCGTGTTTGCCGTAAGCGAGTAACTGTAAATCTGGAGTCATTTCCCTGCAACCGAAGCGTCTCCTCGATGCTCTGGTGCGTGCACATTGGTGATTAAAATGGGTTTTATTAGTGGCAAAAGGTGTGCAACCCATTCCGGTTTATGCCTATTGGCTTCTAATCTATTTAGACAAGCGAGTTCTCATTGCATTTTGCATTTAGAAAAGGCCATCGCACGGGAAATACGCACATCGGTGTCTGCAGGAAAAGAGAAACATTTGGTTACATGTAAAGCCGTGGGGACAGAACGCGGGTTCAAACAATTGTAAATGATATTATTGGGCATGTCAGCCTTTATTCATGATTTATGACGCATCGGCGATCACTTGGCACAGTTTTCATGAATGGTGATTTGCCACTGCTCTGTTTTGTTATCAAAACTCGCCACGAGCGCTTTAAGAGGCGTCACTGCATGCATGCCTGCCCTGGGCTACACAAGCTTTAGACTTATCTCTATTAGTGTTTCGGTCAGCGGCACTGTGACTTTGTTTCTTTGTTTTCTTCTTTCTTTGCAATAAAACCTGCCTCTCTATGTTAGGTGGTTCATTTGCGTGGACAGGGATTTTCTTATCTGCGCGAGCGCTTACGCGTGTCGCGGAGCAGAGCGGGCAGCAATCGTAAGTCGATTTATTATCGGGAGTTCTACATCGATGGTGATGACCTGTAGATATTAAAAAATAAATAGAACTGGCCAACGTGTGCCATATTAATTACACATGGTTGCTCACGTGGAAAGGCGTTATCAGTAACATTCGCTTATCATCATCAGCCTCACTACGTCCACTGCAGGACAAAGGCCTCTCCCATGTTCCGCCAGTCAACTCTGCCCTGTGTTTGCTGCTGCCAATTTATACCCGCAAACTTCTTAATCTCATCTGCCCACCTAACCTTCTGTCTCCCCCTAACCCGCTTACCTTCTCTAGGAATCGCCCCGTCACGGTAGTCTAGTGGCTAAGGTACTCGGTTGCTGACCCGCAGGTCACGGGATCAAATCCCGGCTGTGGCGGCTGCATTTTCGATGGAGGCGGAAATGTTGTAAGCCTGTGTACTCAGATTTGGGTGCACGGTAAAGAACCCCAGGTGGTCGAATTTTCCGGAGCCCTTCACTACCGCGTCTCTCATAATCATACGGTGGTTTTCGGACGTTAAACCCCACAAATCAATCAATAAATTAATTCTCTAGAAATCCAGTTATTTACCCTTAATGACTAGCGGTTATCCTGTCTATGTGCTACATGCCCGGCCCATGTCTATTTCCTCTTCTTGATTTTAACTATGATATTCTTAATCCCGGTTTTTTCTCTAATCCACTCTGCTCTCTTCTTGTCTCTTATAGTTACACCTTCCATTTTCTTTTCCATTGCTCGCTGTGTCGTCCTCAATTTAAGCTGAACCCTCTTTGTATGTCTTCAGGTTTCTGCTTTGAGCTAAGTACCGGCAAGATGCAGCTGTTATATTGTGAGCGCGACAAGCGGATGACTCTTTATTCTCTTTGATATCATCATCACCTGTACATCTTCTTTATCTGAAAATATCATCACCAGCGTAATTTAGCCCGAGCCTGGCTGAATAAACCGGTTCCTCACAAGTGGTGGACTGTGCTTTTCGTTCCCTCAAGTCCTCTCGGCCGTTCTCGCTGGAGCTCCGCTCGGGTCGTCGCATTCAACCCCCTGCCATGGCGGCCCAAGAAAACCCTGGCCCATCCAATGTCGCTGTCTTACTGCAGCCGCCGCCACCCGCTCCGCCCAACAACATTTGCCTGCGTGATCCACCTGTGTTTTCCGGTCTCCGAGGCGATGATGTCGAGGACTGGATCAAGAACTGCGACCTTGTCAGCGATTTGAACAGGTGGCACAATCCACAGAAGTTGTGCAGCGCCCCGTTTTACTTGTCTGATGTTGCGAAAACTTGGTTCTGGCACCACCACCCGGATCTTCCCGACTTGGACACTTTCAGCAAATTCGTCAGGTATTTGGTGCCCCGGCAGTTCGCACTGAGGCAGCAAAGAAGAAACTCGCTGAACGCACGCAGCTGCCGGGTGAATCTTACAGCTCTTATATTGAGGATGTCCTTGCACTGTGCAAGCGCGTTAACACCGGCATGTCTCAGAACGACCAAATACGCCACATTATTAAAGGCATTAACACCGTCGCCTTTAACGCCTTCGCCACGCAAAATCCTGCCACCACCCAGGACGTGATAACCATCTGTCAGCGACTTGACGAGCTTCAGTCTTTTCGCCTTTGCTACGATGCCACCGACGTTCGTTTGCCTGCACCCCTCGACTTGCGTGCCCTTATTCGCGGCATCGTTCGTGAAGAGCTGCACGGGCGCTGCTCTTCCTGTGCTGCGGAAGTTACTTTCCCTTCTGAAAAAGATAGCTTGCGAGACCTGATTAAACAAGAAATCGCATCGCGTGGGACGTGTTCCAACAGTCCCTGCGTGCGCCAGACGCACACGTACGCCGAAGTTGCCGCGCTCTCTGCCGCACCCACCGTTTCTGTGCCTACAACAGCAGACCATACAACTGTGGCTTCGTTATCACCGCCAGTGCGTGCACCACCTTACTACGCACCTCCGCGCCCAGCTTGCGAGACCTGATTAAACAAGAGATCGCATCGCGTGGGACGTATTCCAACAGTCCCTGCGTGCGCCAGACGCGCACGTACGCCGAAGTTGCCGCGCTCTCTGCCGCACCCACCGTTTCTGTGCCTACAACAGCAGACCATACAACTGTGGCTTCGTTATCACCGCCAGTGCGTCCACCACCTTACTACGCACCTCAGCGCCCACCTCGACCAATGTGTTACTACTGCGGCTATCGAGGACATATCGCTCGGTTTTGTCGAAGGCGCCAACAAGATGAGCAACGCGGCTGCGCTCTCCGTCCGACCATGAACTACCTACGACCACCCTCCCGATTGTCCTATTACCGTTCACAGTCACCTACTTACCATACGGACATGCTGGGAATTCCCGTACGTCGCGCCGCAGGTCGCCTTCGCCAGGTCGCCGTTCAGTGTCGCCTCTACGGCCCGCCTCCCATTCCACGAATGCCCACGCGGAAAACTCCCCAATGCAGTTTTAGGAGGGGAAACTGCATCCCTTGGACAGCTAACAATTCCTCCAGAGCGGCCATCAAATTTGATAGTGTTTGTAGAAGGTGTACGTGTTGAGGCTCTTGTAGACACTGGCGCTGCCATTTCGATTATTCGTGCTTTTTGTTCCCGCCTTCGAAAGGTCACCACACCTTATGGCAGCCCATCTCTACGTGCGGCGACCAGCGCTCTCATTCGTCCACTTGCACAGTGTACCGTTCGTGTCTGCATAGAAGGCATTCATCAGCACATTGTTTTCGCGGTATTTCGTGAGTGCACCCATGCTCTCATTCTTGGGTAGGATTTCTTGTCTTCTGCGTCCGCTTTCATATCATGTCATCAGCGCCTCCTGCATCTAAATGCCACTGACTCTTCTCCGCTTGAACACGATGGACGCATCCGCCTTGTCACCAAGTCAGATTATGTACTTCGGCCATACATCGAAGAAATTATAAGTGTTAATTGCACCGACATTGTGGATGGCGATGTACTAATTATCCCTTACGGTCATACCCTACGTAGGGGCATTGTGATCACACCAGGGCTTATTCGCTTCTTCGATGGGTCTACGGACCTAACCGCCATAAATCAAACGCCCGAGTGTGTACTGCTCCCCTGTGGCTCAACAGTATCTTGTGCGGTCGACAGCGAGCCTGTTGCGATTGTTACTCTTCCGAACAACAACCACAACGGTGTTCCGAAGTCACAATCACTGCCATTCAATGCCTCTGCCACACCTGTGTCCGCAACAATAAGCAATGACTTAACACCTGATCAAAC